GCAGTTTCAGCACACTGATTTCTAATTAGTTTATTCACCCTGCAATAAATAAAAAGCATTATAATATTAATATATGCCAATCATAATGTTATAAAATAAAAAAAAAAAAAAAAATGAAAGAAGTTATTACCTAGAAATATACGTATTTACATCACTGTCTAATGTTGTCAAATCAATTTGAGACCATTCTGTTACCTGAAAAATCATGCATTTATAGTTTATACTGTAATATCTTGTTTTTAACATGCACTTACTTCATGAATTGAAGCTTTAATACGTAGCGTAGACAACAGCTGTTTTAGCTGTACTCTTTGGCTTTGAATATCGATAGTATTGAGCAAGTGAACTCTCAATATGTGTTTTTTATACACAGCAATCATTTTGATAATGCATGATAATTGTAACATAAACAAGCTGCTAGTATCATACGCATCATTCATTGATGGGCCAAAGAAGTTAACAGGCCAAACATCAATATACTTATACTTAATGTTTCTGAATAAAGAAAATTATTGTATATATTAAAATAAAATTATAAAATTTATCATATAACTATTATTTTTTTAATAATAATCATACTTAACAATATCAGTCTTGTTATATAAATCAAAATGTCGACAAATACATATATTTTTATGCATTTGAAATATATCACAGATCATTGATACAAATTCTGATGTAGATAAATGTTTTTCTTCGTTGGGTAATCTCAAAGGGAATTTTTCTTCATTAGTGGTTAATCCTTGAAATAAGGATGTTTTATAAACGGAATCTAATCTATAACATACATACAGTTACACCTTGTACAGTTTTAAAATTTGAAATTAACTAACCTTGTAAAATAGTCAAGTGGAACTTTATTGTCGTAGAAACCCAATACAACAGTATTTGGCTTCATTGCTCCCATACCGGATAACCTTACTAGATGGTGTAATCCTTCTCTTACACTATTGGCTACAGTCAGTTCAACAAATGCTTTTACCTAAATTAGTTTTATTAAGCCATAAAATGAATGAGTCAAAAACAAAATATAGATATTTTTAGTGTACTTTACTTTTACATGATCAACTAAAGTCAACCAGGAAGAGATGGTCTTATCTGTATAATCTAAATTTGTTTCTGCTTTATCGACTTTGACGTGTCCTAATACAAATAAACCACTTTTTTTCAGATCATTAATAAATGTTATAGTTGGGCAAGATGACCGAGGATTAGCAACCATTAGCAGCATTTGAGGTCTCCAGAATTTGATATGATTTTTTCTCGGATCTAACAAAAGCAGATACTTGCGAACCTATGATGACATAATATGATTCAATAAATTTTTGTTCTTAAAAAGATGCTACACCCGCATGAGTTTTTTTATGTCTTACTAACGTATAACATAACAAATTTTACATAATTGACGATAATCCATTTTACTCCGTTAATTTTTAAATAAGAGCGAATTTATTCATGGTAAAATTATCGTCYAGAGCATCTTAGAGTTATCTAAGTTGTGATAATTTTAAAATGTATAATTTCAAAAAGGTCATAACTTGCTTCTGAATACAAATATCAATAAAACCTTTCAAGATGCTTACTATCTAGATAATAATCTTACTTTTTAATTGCATAACAAGTTAATTCACTCTAATTTAATAATTTACAGAATAAAATGTATTATTGTGAATATTAAGTTTGTCATATTGTACATTTGTAAGACAGTGACAACACATGTGGGTGAGGCATCTTTTTAACAGGTAAGCAAAGGAAAAAATCATACCTGGTGAAATATTAGAGCTTGAGATATTGATCCCCATTCAGAAGCTTCACATGGAGAGAAGAAGTGCAATAAGAGTATAAGTAACAAACACAATCCAAAACTTGTTGAGGCATAAAATGGATTTATTACAAACATCATTATTACACTACCCATTAGCCCAAAAGAACAGGTCCATGCAGAAAAATACTTGAAAGATGGCCTATATATCAAATAGAAATTAATTGGTAAATGTAGAATTTGTACATCAATTAATACATAATGCATATTTATTTAACTTTGTAATGGATAAAGAATAATAAAAAAAAAAA